TCAAATGCTAGTATGGATTAAAATGTCAGTCCCGCAGTTCCCTCTTTATAAAAACCCATTAAATGACTTATCCCTGCTTAGTTTTCCTCTTTCTGGAGAAAACAAACTCAGCTCTTTTAACCTGTTCTCAAAACCTTGGACTGTTCTTGTTTCTCACCTGCCAGTTCATCTACATCTTTCATAAACTGTGGTGGTCCAAACAGTGTCACAGCGTTGATTCATATTTAGGTGGAGGGTCACTGTAGTCCCCAGGTCCTTCTTTGTGCTATGGCTGGCTAGATGCTTCTTTCCTACTCTCTATTCATGCGTATGATATATTTTTCCTAAGTGTAGCACTGCAGTCGCTTTGACTGAATTTTTAATTGGCGATCTCCACTTTATCAAGGTCATTTTCAACTCTATTCCTGTCCTCATCCACAGATTCATAAGTGTACTTTCTATTTGATCATCTAAATCATTAACAAAAATCCTTACTAGAACCAGAGCCATAACAGACGTCACGTTTGACAGTGAGTTGCTGATAATTACCGAGTCCAGGTTGTCAGCTATATGTGTACTCGCTCTATGGTAATATCTTCTGGATATTATTTCTCTAAATGTGTTTGTGAAAGTGACACACAAGCAAAATGTCAAAAATGCTCCACTGAAGTTAAGGTCTATTGATTCTGGTGCTCCCCAGGCTCCAGTAGCCCTGGCCCCATCAAAGACGGAAACAGAAAGGGATTGGCACCATTTGCTCATGGCTATTTGTTACCACCTTGTCAACCTCTAGGTGCTTATAAATTGGTTGTTTAATAATTTGCTCTGGTATCTTTTCTGATGTTGAATTTTTTTTTTTTACATTCTCAGTTTGTATATCTCTGTTTGACTCATCTACAGTAACTTCTTTACCAATTTTCATCCCAGGATCTCAGAGCACCTTACAAGAGTCAGCTAATTCTGCTCTTGGACGTGTACTTCCTCTATGGGTGCTTGTCCACGTTACACCTCCACATTACGCTGTGCGACCGCAGAGAGAGGCAGTGATCTGTGTTAGTCTGGAGTCGGGCAGAAGGCAGGGCAGGGCAGTATCTTGTTAGAGACTGTTACTTAATTTCCCAGTGCCCCAATTTACTTCCCTGTGGACTGTTTACTTATCTCCCTCTTATCTCCCTCTCGTGTGTTCTGAGGGCTAGTGAATGGTTGTAAAATCTGTGAGATCCACAGATAAAAGCTACAATAGAGGTTATTTTATTATCATCATATATATGTATTCAAAAGGGGTAAAGAAAGTGCAACAAAAATATATTTGTCAGGTATCCAGGTTGTAGCTGTATTGGTCTAGAGGAAAAGGCAATCAGGGCTCGTAGCAGAGATTTTTTTTAATTAGACCAACAAGATTTTTGCAAAAAAAACATTGTCATTGCAAGCTTTCAGGCACAAACCCTGAAGAAGGGTGTTTGTGCCTGAAAGCTTACATTTAAAGAATTTTTTTGCAAAAATCTTGTTGGTCTAATAAAAGATATCATCGCTACTACGAGTCCGGATTACAAATATACATTAAGAGTTATGAAGTGTAAAGAACTGATTGAGGAAGCTAAAGATATCAGTGAAAATCATGACTAGTGCGGCTAAGGACAATAAAATAAGGATGTGTATGAGAAAAAAAAATGTTAGCAATGGAATAGATCCATTGGTAGATTGTGAAATTATTAATGATGATGTAGAAAAGGCAGAAGTGTTAATATCTACATCTTAGTTCTTGAAGACACGTGGGTTGACTTACTTGCAGGACACAAGGATGATGAAGTACTCTTCAGTCCACAAGTAACAGAATGTGAAATCATATCTCCCACATATAAACATTTTAAAAATCAGCAGGCTCAAGAGTCTTAACTAGCTTAGGAAATCTCTGGCCTTTGATGTTAATATTTAACAAAGCCTGGAGTACCAGAGAAATACAAAAGTCAGGAAGACTGATAAGGTGCTGACATTCAGAAGGACAAGCAGGATGACCCAACCAGGTCTGGTTGGTTAGCCTGACCTCGGTCCCAAGACACAGGAAGGAAAGGGAGACATGAGATTCATCTAGTAAATAATTAAATGACATGATAATTAACGCCAGTCAATGTGATCTTATTGACTAAGTACTTTGATAAGGTTACCAGTTGGAATGATAAAGGTAACTGTGTATATTGTTATTGAGATTTTTATCCTGCTCTATCCAGAAAAGCGCAGGGCAGCTCATAGTCAAATAGCAAACGACAAAGTAGTTTCCCTAAACAGCACCCCAAAACTTCACATTTAGGTATAAGAGGCCTCCTCCCATGTCCTCCCTCTCCCATTTCCCTGCCTAACACCCAGGGAAGATCCTTTCCCGAAAGTCCCTCCCAAGGCTGCGCTCTGCTCTCCTAGGCAGAGGCAGTGGCTGTCCCAAGAACACACCTAACACACGGCGTGAAATTCAAACGAACCATATCACAAAGGCTGTCCATCTCTGCCTCAGTTACCACTGAAGGGCAATGCCAGAAGCACCCTTGAGCATCAACCCAAGGCAGTGCCCACCCGGAGAGGGCCGGTCCATCTCCCTCCACTTGGCTGCTTGGCCAAGATGGTGCTTGGGCTGGACCCCAGCCCTCCCCTGGGGTGAGGGAGGCAAGAGAGTGAGGGCTGCGGTTCAGTAATATATTTTGCAAGGGATTTGACATGGCATTCTGATTATCCAGTATCAGTAAAAGACACATCAAACAGATTAAGAATTGGCTACCTGACCAATCTCAACACAAAGCTGTCAAGGGGAGACCTTGTCGACTGGGAATATTTCTAGCAGGGCTTGAAGAAGCAGGAAGGCCAGAGAGTACTGTGCTAGGTAGGAGACATTTGAGGTGGACAGGAAAGGAAAGGTGTTAGTGCTGGTGAGAAGAAGGTTTGGCAGAGCTCAGCTGCCCTCCAAATTCTCTTCCTTGCTGCTTAAACAGATCCTGACAAGTCCAAAGCAGCAACCTTGTGAACGTAATCTAGTGGTGGGAGGAATGATTTCAGGATTAAAGAAAGGAAGTAGATGAAGGGAAGGAGAAAGTGATGCCAACCGGTTTAGCTTCATTGTCAAAGCTGTGTGAAACCCCAAAAGCAAACAGCTTCATTCAGTGTAATCGTGTTGGGTTTTAAAAGTTTTCCCAGTTTTACTGTTAACAGAGGTCGAGATGGATTCTCACCCGGTATAAATCAGCACAGACCCAAAGCATGCAATGGAGCTATGCTGATTTCCACCAGCCACAAATCTGGACAAGGGAAATTAAATCCTTCCCTCAGCTACCCTAGTGCCACCACTGCGAGAGGGAGGCAGTGTAGAAAAGAAGATAAATCCATGCCCTTCTACTGACATCAAAGCAATCACACAAGCATAGCCAAGGGTAGAAGTGGATCCATTTTTATCAGAGAAATATCCTTTTAATATTAGTCTGGACTTTGATTTCACTTTGGCAATAACATTGGCGCTGGAAAGTGCAAGCAGAACATTGTGACAAACCGAGTCATCCTTCTGTTGATCTCGAGCGAGGATCCAAGCCAGATCTCTTCTGTCACAGAATTTCAATTACCCTGTGGGGATTCATAAAGCTCAATGTCACACTTCATATTTATGCCATAGGATTCTTTTTTTACTGATGTGACTTAAAGTCCGCTGAAACTGCCCATGTACAGTCTACTGCACGTATCCCCATTAATGCAGGACTGTCCAGCTAGTTGCCCATGGACCACCCCCAAGCTCCCACCTGCATGCCATCGTCCCCACCCTGCAGCAGCCAGAGGCTCCAAGCTCCCCTTCCCTCTGGCTTCCTCTTTCTGCCCCTGGCCCTGCTCCAGGGGTTGGGGCAATACAGCATGACACAGCCATCAGTGCTTCGGGAGCTTATGGCCGGTCAGTCGGGGTCCCTGCGTGTGCAGTGCAGCACAGGGAATGGCAGTGGGGGAACACGCAGTGCAGCAGGGGAACCTGGTGTGTGGTGCAGGGGAGGGGGCATGTGGCCCCTGCTAGCATGGCCCCTGGCCACAAAGAAGTTGGAGAGCCCTGGATTAATGCATATGTCTAATAATAAGCCATCGCTTTGCACCTATAGTCTTCAGCTGCTGAATAAGCTTACTTCCATTTATCAGTGGCCACTGATGTCACTTCTTGTGATGTAATCCATGTGCTCTTGCACACTTAAGGGCAGGGTAGCCTGACATGAAATCCTGAAACCCACCCCAACTGTTTGAACTTCTCATGATGTGTATCTGCCAGCACTCACGTTGTGTCTGTCCATTCCTCTCCATTTAGGTGCTCGCTGTCTAGCAGTTTTTTATGGCAGGCGCGCTCTTCGCTACTACTGATGCTGGAACTCTCTTCCGAGCTTTCAGACAATATGTACTTGATTGCCACGGCATCCTTCTCGTTCATTTGCAAGCACAGGCAGGAGGATTCGCTCACCTTGAATGAATGCCCCCACAAGGTTTGGCAGAGCTCAGTACCATTTGCAAACACCTAGGTGTCAAATAAACAAAGCAGGTTAAAAAAATCAACTTAACTGTCAAATCACCTGCAGCCTGACTCCCTTTTGCTCTGTATCACGTGCAGTCAGGCACTTTTCGGGTGGAGTTGTCAGACTGGTAGCATTTTAGCCCTACCTAGCACTGGTGCAAACAACCACGCAAGGGACAAGGCAGCGAAGAGTTGTTTCCAAAGTCATATTAATATGTTGGATCCCACAGACCAAAAAACTGTGTGGCTAGCTCAGCCCTGTGCAATACTGCAGAAGTGCTGTAGTGTAAAGCCGGTAACGTTTCATGGTCCCCTGACACATATTCTTTCCAGTGACCTAAGCACTGGTGCCAGACACTGGACAGAGTACAAGACACTGATATCTTTTATTTGTCTCTATCACAGATGCACTCCAACTTCATGGCTATCTCAGATTTCGGTATTCTCCCTATACCATACATTATGGCTGCTCAGGACCTCATAAAAAGAGAGAACAGGAAGAACTCAGAAAATTTACCTCTGACTTGTAGAAACTCTGAGGGTAGGGAGAGAGCCCCAATACCACTTATCCTCCCTTAAAGTGGGCTTGACTACCTGTGGCCTTTTTAAGCAGGATTAGCTTAAAATTGCCATTTTTAAGGCACATTAAGGGCACATGTCCACACACACGCACCCTTAATGCACTTTAAAGATGGCGAATTTTAGGCCAATCCTGCCTAAAGTTGATACCTGCTTAAAGCAAGTACCAAATTTAGGCTGCTATAGTTAGCCCACGTGTAGACACTTAAGGCACATTAACACAGTATGAGTTGATGGACACACACTGTGTTAATGCGCATTAGCATGGCTGCACAATGCCAGCCTAAATTTAGTGTGCTTTAATGCACATTATCATGTCTATGTGTAGATGCATGCCTAAATCCCCTTAATATGCCTTAAACAAAGGTGTATTAAGTTTAGGCACACGTAACTACCCATGTAGACACGCCCAGTGAGTCTCCCTCTCCAGCCCAAGGGATCCTTTTAGTTCAAGGAAATATTAATTATAGTTTCCTGCACCAGCTTTAATTGAATTTGTCCTGTATCTTGTTTAGCAGTGACATCTCTGCACGAACCATCAGTCATATTCCCTATATGACCATACAGGGAATGAACCTCTTGCCTGTTGCATTTATGCCATGGAAAACTTTTGCTCTTCTAGTCCATATTTAAACAAACATTGTTATCTTTTGCATTGGAAAAGCTAAGAATAGGTACCATTTGTAGCAGCAGAGAAGGCAGGTTATGTACTTTGGCAAATCCAGGAATAAACTATGAACTTCATATCTGTTTGTGCTTTGTACCCACATATTTGCTCTTGGGATTTAATATTTTCTATTTAAATAAGAGAGACTTAGACACGGCAAAGTAAGGGTGATAAGCACGAGCACGATGGCAAATAATGGAACCTCAAGAGAAAGGCAGATGTAGTGTTGCACAATGATTAAAACAGAGTAGCTGAACTACTGCATCACTGACTCACTCTGTAACCTTGATTAAGTCACCTAACTTCTCCTTATATCCCGTTACCACTATAGGACTAACAGGTACATCACAGGCATGTAGGGAGTTTTAGTGGATCTTTGTAAAACTCTCCAACATCTCTGACAGCAGCAGTTTTAGGTACCTAAAGTATTATTACAGAGGTGGTTAGCTATGTTGGTCTGAGCTCAGGCAGAAGATAGGGCAGGGTGGCAACTTAGAGACTAACTGGTTCAGAGGCACAAGCTTTCATTGGCAACAACCTACTTCATCAAATGCTATCGGATGCTTATTACTGTTACTTAGGGACAGTGTAATAGAGGAATACTAACAAACTGCTGCATAATCTACTCTTAACATCTCCTGTTCCCTACTATTTATTGCTACTAGAAGGTGTATGTGTTCAGCGAGGGCAGTGAAGACCCCTGCCCATTGCATCACTCCCTATCAATATAGTGAATTCAATGCCACTTTTTCCAGTAGCTCTGAAAACTATGGAGGGTGCACCTTCTTCACTGGATTATTGTTACTGCCCTGATGTGTCAGCCTAATAAAGTAAGTCTGACCCTAGTTGATTCACCTTGGGACTCAGCAAGTCACTCATTTCTCTGTGGCTTGGAGATCTTTGCATGAAAGCTGTCAGGCAGAAGATAGGGCAGGGTGGCAAGAATTTATCTGGTTCGCAGAGGGATACGCTTCATAAGAGACAGCCTCCTTTGTCAGATGCTGTGAATGGCGAATGATGTTGTAAGTGCCAAGTTTCAAACCGTCAGGCTCAGTGATGTGGAGGTAAGGATGGGGACCTCAATGAGTTTGTCTCTCCCTGCTTTTCTCAGAATAGGTTCTTTTTCTCTTGAAGGATGTTTCTTCTTTCCCCACAGGGGACACTTGGAGTAGACTGTAACCTTTGCTGTGAGTGAGATCATAGAGTTTTAGATCAGTTTCTGATCTTAAACTCTATCAGCTATGAATAATATGGAGTCCATCCCATAAATACCCCTATAGGCCCTCTGAGCTCCTGCTTTTAAAGCTACAACTGATCTGCAGGGGCCTGGCTCCATCTCTGCTGCAGTTGGTGGAAGCTCCCTACCAGTGAGGCGCTGAGCCAGGCGGATGCTGCTTCACCTCCTGAACTGCTGCTTGCGTCCGCTACTGCAAGCCCAAGAAGATGTAGGCAACCCTCGAGTGGAAAGGCCTTGTTAGCCTTTTCTCTCCCCTTGCACACTCAAAATGTAGCCGTCTGGATTTACCTTTCTCCCTATGCCTGTCCTTTGCGATGCCACAAGGCTTATTTCTTCAGCTTCCAGCTGTCTTCCCTTGCTTCCGGTGGGTCATTTCAGGAGTAAGTAACATCTGTACATTCATGCTTATTTCCTTACGGAAAGGACATGGTTACAATCTACAGGCTCCAAAAAATACTTGCTCATAAGCATGTATTGGCTAAGTTAGTCTGATACACTGCACTTTCTTCTCATCTCGCTGCCAGCTCTGCGCTCCAACCACAGAGTATTTACAGTGCTGCAGGACAACAAAACCAAGCCAAACACTGCCCACGGTCAGCTCTGCACGTCAGTCCTTACATACCGCGGAGGCTTTCAGTTCTTCCACTTACTAGGCTGTGCTCTGCTCCTCATACCAAGTGTTCTCTCTTGCAGAGCTTCGCAAGAAGAAGAACAGTAGAACGAGGCTCATAAATTTGAAGACAGCATGTATAAGACTAAAACTGGCCAGGATCCACGATACATTCTTGATATCCAGCATGAGCTCCAAATGCGCCTTCCAGCCGTTCGCATATGTCAACTGCAAGGCTGCTGATTGCTCCACCGTATGGGATAAGGGCATTTGAAGAAATAAAGCATCTGTCTGCAATGCACGAACGTCGGAGAACACTCTGTGCCTTTTGGATATTAGCAAGTTTCTTTCCATCAGCTAGGGCCAAGCAAACTGAAGTCTCACTTTTGGACTGTTTCATTTTAACATGGGAAGCATATTTTTAAAACTGTTTAGACAGTGCTGCGAGGTGTTTTGGCTATCGCAGCATAAACAGGCAGAATACCAATAGCTTAGATCATTTGCTATGTTACTGTGTTGCCGCCTGATACAGCAGAAAGAGAAAAGAGGCGATATTTCTAGTTGGCAGAAGGTTTTAAAACATAATGGGTTTTATACCTCACGTCGTCATTTCTGCCTGTACAAATTGAGAGCAACCATACGGCTTGGGGAGCATAATTCATCTACTTTATACAGACCGAGATTACCACAGAAGGTGGCAGGCCATGCCCTTTTATTTTTGAACAAAATGTCTCATGTTTTTTCCTCTCTGGTGCCTCTCTTACCGATACGTGTTTGCATAGCCCGCATACACATTCAAATTGTCCCGTTTGTTACAGCATTCATTTTGTCCCTTAAGCAAAAGGTCTGTGTACCCACCTTCTGACCCACTGTGTATATTATCATTAGAAATGAAATGAAGAACAAGTAATTGTGAAAGATGTTCAGTAATTTATGCACACAGCACGGGCTAAGGCAGTTAAAGAGTGGGAAGAGAGTAGCAGAGGGCAGAACAGAACTATACATCAAAAGTCACTGTCAAGAGGGTGTTTGGCTAAAATAATAATCCTCTAACTTAATCCCAAACACTGAGGTTAAAAAAACAGTGCCCCAGTTACCCACCCAAATCCCTTTCACTTCCTGAGTCCGTTTTACACTCAGGTACTGACACATAGCAACTCTCGTCCTGTGTTATTTGCAGCACAGTTCAACGCCTCAAGTCCATTGAGATTTCCAAACCAATTTGTACAGGCAGCAATACTCAATAATTCACAAACTGAAACAGATTCTGCAATGTTTTTGCAGTTCATTCATCAGTCATTTAGATTATGTCAAGCTTGCCTGTTTTCTCATATTAAACTAGTGCTGTTATGTCCACTAAGGTCGCTGCCCCATCAGGTAGCACAGGCTGCAAACAGCACATCTGCATTTTTAGGAGCGCTCTTGTAAGGATCAAGTGCAAATGGAATGATTGTTGCTGTGGAAATTCATGTGTAGTGGCAGGTACTTGCTTTGGAAAAACCTCATCTTTATGCATAGCATTGGGTAAAAAATATGGCCAAAAAGAGGTGTGGCTCTGTTCTCGCTTAGGAACTGCTGTGCCTGGTTTGAAGTGATAACGTGTTTTGGATTTGCTGGATGCTTTTCCTTTGCTGACGGATACGGTTTCTTTAAAAAAAAATAACTGCAAGTGAATTAAAACCTGATGAAAGGTTACAGGCTGAAACCTTTGATTTTCAGAGCAAGAACAGCATGGGCAGGGACCAGAGCCTATTTCCAGAGGCCTCAATCTCAGGGCTGAAGCTATGTGAAAATAAGACCCCAGTCTGCATGGCCTACTCTTGTTTTGGCTTTTCTTGCTGACCTAGCAATTAAGTGTTATTTGTGGTGCTGCTCTTGAATCACAGACATTTATCCTACGCGATCTGGTCGGTGACTGCCAAGAGCCGGCGGCAGGTACCTGCACTTGGTGCAGAGTCAAACCTGTGAAGTCTGCTACCCCTCCTAACAGATGAGCTTTCCGTTCTGCCTACCTCTTCTTGTGTGTGAGCAATTCTCACAGGATCACTGGACATACTTCCTTAGCAAAAGTCCAAACCTGGCACCGCACTATACCCTTTTTCCTGGATCTTAAGTCCATTACAGTCACTGGAACGACTCCCAGCGCCTCTTTAAAGTAGCTTGGATCAGGCTCCAGGCAATTTTTGTTCCTAGGACTCTTTTCAGTCCCATGTTTCTACACTTGTGCTCACATGATTAGGCACCCTGGCCATAAAACTTTTCTCAGAAGGACTGGATGGGCTCCAGTTCTGATTTCACTTTCAGGACAGGCTGACTAAAGTGAAGCCCTGAAAAACAAAGCATCTCTGTCCCTTTGTTCTTGCATTGACCGACAGAACAGGGTCCACAGGACAAGGACTTGTGGGTCTAAGGAAGATAATCAGGAGCGTTTAAGGACTCCCACAAGAATTTGCAGAACAAACTGGCTTTTTTTCTGGGGGAAAAATACTGGTACAAAATGGGAACAAGGTAGAAATGCAGTATAAGCCTAATGGGGAAAATGTTAAAAGTGCTCGAATGATTTGGGAACTTAATCCTATTTTCAAAGGAGACAGAGGCACTTAGGGGGTCTAAGTCCTGCAGGTGCTTTTGAAAATATTACCCAATATTTCCATTTGCTATATACTCTGAATGAATAGTGGTCTAATAAATGATATCAGATTCACCCAAAGACCCTTGTCTGTCTGAGTCCTTAGACCAACACGGCTACGACCTGCACCCCTGTAACATGGAGGATATCGAATTCAGCCGTTTGAAATGGAAACTCTGCAACATGAAAAAGAAGCCAAACTCAACAGCGACATACTTCCTAAGCCTATGCAAGAAACACGACTTCGTTCCCAGAGGACTAAACATCCACAATCCTGTGACTACTACAACTCCAAATATGCTTCACAGCTATGCAGGATATTTAAGTTGGTCTCATAAAAGATATCATATTCACCCAAAGAACCTTGTCTGAATTAATAGTAATTTTCTGCACTTCTGTCTCTAAGCATCATGATGGTTAAAATACCAGATGCACCTGAATTTTGTCTACATTAGAGCTTCCAGTCCTGCTCCAACACTGGTAGGAAGTGCAAGAAATAAAAAAAAGAGAATTTGGTATTGTCAAGACCTAGTGTTTTTGAAAGCAAATTCATTTATACATTGCATTTTAAGCCCACAGACTTGAATGAAGGAGTAAGAACAAACACAGTAACATATACCGGTTGTGTCTGTTAGTGCTGTTCTGTATGAATCTGTTGCGCTTGCTTACCTCGCTGTATGGGCTACAGTCACTCTTACAATGGTTCTCTCCATTTTCATCCCATTCCCAGTCTGTCAACCAGTTGCGGACACAGGTCAGGTCCTCTTTGCAGGCTTCATACCTGCATGGAGATCAGCAGGGAAAAGAAGAGTTATTTCCCTTGCTGTAATTCAGTGCTACCACTAAATTATAGTGATGCAACACAGGGCAGGATCTGTGGGCCGCACAGATAACACTCTTGGCTTATAGACCTTGTTTTATCCAGTGATCGCAAAGATGAGCAACATGCGACAGGCGCCCCCAGGGAAACCTACCAACAGAGGGAGCCATGGAGAAAGAAGGGTAAAAGAGGAGCTAAAATGGCCAGGTAAAGGGTTGGTGAGAGGCATGTACATTGAAAGGGAGAAAACAGTCAACCAATAAGCAACTAAATAAGGTCATATTGGGTGCGTTTACACATTGCTGCCTGGTGACATTGCTACAGCGCCATGCTTTAGTACTTCCTTTTGGAAATACTAAAGCACAGTGCAATACGGGCTGTTACTGTGCCGTGCAGGCAGCGCACACTTAGATTTCCCTGCTACGTCGCTGCAGCGGTGCGCTATATCCAGGGAGCGCGCCACTATGGGAGCACAGCTGGCAATAATGTGGAGACCTGCGTGATTGCTGCATCACTGTAATGCATCCTATGGGCACTGTAGGGCAACGTGTAGACGTGCCCATTGTGACCTCGGGAGCTAAGATTGAATACGAAGGAGAAATGTTCAAAGAACCCAAGGAGTTAGTTTGGTAGGAAATATTTTAAATGATAACTGAAAGAGAAGCGTGTCAGTGCAACCTCATATCAGCAACTCCAGGAGTTCCAGCTCTCATGAGCCAGCTCTCCCAAAATCATAAGACTGCCTCAAAAATAGCAGGATATTTAAAAGAATACATTTAAAGTTCTTTTTATTTGTCTTTTTTTTTTTTTTTGATTTTCAGGGTACAGTTAGTCAAATTTTAAAGGAACTTGCATTTTTTTTAAATTAAAACAGAACTTTTTACATATCCACATAAATACATCATCTGAGGCTTTAGAAGACACTAGAAATAGGAGACTCGCAGTGCAAATGTGATAACACTGCTGTATTTACATAAAGAGAAGCACATGCATTTTGCAGGATCTCGGCCAATGACTGTAAGTCCTTTAGGGTAGGGACAGCAGCCAGCAGACCTGGCCACAATTTGTAGGTGCTGGTATACAAATAACACCACCACTATCTGCACACCTGAACTTGGACATTAGTCTTTCTAATTGTAGTGGTGTTCAAGGCCATTTTTCACTTATTTTATATACAAAGTGTGCAAAGAAATTGAAAATATTTGTGTCTGAGGGTTTTACATTCAGTTTTCAGCAGCTGTGTTTTATAACTTTCCCAGTGCTGGAGTGAACTTCTGGGACTAGATATGGAACTCACCTGTGACACACTGAGATGTTAAACTTTAAATTGCCTGAGTTCAGCTTTTTCAAGGGTAACTTCTGATGAATTTCAAACAGCGTTCAGGAATGTGTTGTGCAAAGTCCAGGGCTGTTTTGCTGATCGCAGGCTATATAAGTCATGGAGTCATGTGTTTTTATCACTGCCATTTATTGGTGTGACAGCAAATATAGATGGAGATTAAGCCAGTTGTGGACTGAACAGTCTTGGGAAGGAGAATGGGATCGTCTGCTGCTGGACTTTGTGGGCCTGCTATGAGTACAGATCTCAGAGTGGCAAACGTGGGTGATCTGTCCTTAGCATACCACTATCAGGCCGGGCTTTGGTCTCGTGGCTGGCTCTTCGGATAGGTATAAACACCAGAGCTTAAGCAATTAGGCCCAATTCAACAAAATGTGTAACCAAAAGTACTTAAATCCATCCCCTTTCCATATAGGGACTTAGGAATGTTATGCTGCGCATCTGGGTTTTGAAGGCACCCGAATTCAACAAGAATATTGAAATATTTATACTTTCATTTGATCTATGTTATACTAGCATAAAGCTTCCTGAAATCAGAATAAGCCTTTCTCACCCTCCCATGCTGAGTGCTACACAAATGTATTAACAAGACACAGTCTGTTTTTCGTAGGCTTTTTTTTAGCTTTGAGGAGTCAAGGACAAAACTGAGCACAATCATAAATTCTGATGGTATTTCTGCTGTCAAGAACCTCCCAAATGGCTCCTCCAGGCTTTAAAAAACACCTGTGAAAAGCATGAATGTAAGTACTCAAGAGACCCACCTTTATACTAGCCACCATGCGCTGGGAGTCTGATCTATTTTTTACAAGCCAGGGTTTTTTTTTTAATTTTGAAACTAATTTAATGCCTGGAGTTATTTTTTCAGACCCAGCACTTTCCCTTCTGATAGGGGCCCCTTTTGCAGGTGGGTAGGAAAGGAAGCTGCTCATAGGGCTCTTTACAGTCCACATGGACTTCAAGATAACAGATATCGGACTGGTGGAAGCAGAGGATCATAAAATAATAGGAAGAAAAGGGAAAGCCCCAGGCTAGTTAGATGAATTTCTTTGACGTGAAGTCACTGCTCTTCCAGAGCCCTCTGCACATGTCTGCCCACAAAGACGTGCAGTTTGCAGCATTTGTGGAATGTCAAGAAAGTAGGTCACATCTCGAGCGGCACTTGAGCACACTAGAGGATTATAATGAATACAGTACATAGGGGGAAATTTGGGAGCACTATACTGGATTGCCAGGAAGAGCAGCAGTCCCATCCACGTGCCTCTTTCGTCTCTGGTCTCTAAGGCAGGGGGGGCAAACCTTTTTGGCAGATGTGCCACAAATTAGCCCCACACCCTCCCCGAGTGCCACTCTGATCTCCATCCATCCCCTGCTCCTTGTCCTGTGCTCCCTGCCTGATCTGCTGCTTTGCTTTCTGCTTCTTTCCCTGGGCTCCCTCCCGGCTTTGCTTTCTGCTTCCTGCCCTCTCTACTGCTGTGCTGCCTGGCCCGCTTGTGGCACCTGTGTGCAGGTTAGCTATCCCTGGGCTAGGGAATGGGAATAGCATCGGGATAGAAGACACAGATGTGTTCATACGCAGCCCTGCATCACTGGTACATTTTGTCCTGTGCAAGATGCTTGTAATCCCAAATGAAGCCGGAGATCATGATGTTATTATTTGTTGATGGTAGGGCCTGCTATCATTAACAAACTTCCCATGCATTCGAGGGGGACAGCTCCTGCCCTGAGAAGTGCACAATCTATTATAATATGCAAACTTCTTGCCTCAACGGTCTTTCCTTTGACAGCTCTGCTTCTTAGCCCAGTGCAATTTTCTACCAAAATATTTTCTATCTCCTTTATGCGACAAACTCTCAGAGGAGCTAAGAAATAATATACTTTAGCACCTTCGACTCCAAGTGCAAGCTGTGCTTCTTCAATTTGTTATCTCTAGCACAGACACAGAGCAGTGCAGAAATATTCAGTAGCTAGCCCTAGCAAAATATGGCACTGCAAACAAAACTGTCCCTTGGGAGAGGATGAGAGAGGAAAATGAACTGCAGGGGTGAAGGCAGTATGAGAACCTGGAAAGAACAGGGCAGAACCTGTCTGGGCACTAGTATGTGTTTTGTACATGCCACATCTTAGTGAAAGCTTGTTTGGTAACGTGTTTAAAAGTGTTATAGTAGTTGGTTGCAGTTTTGCAAAGTCTGAGGAACCTATATTCCAACAATATAATAGCATATAAAGTGTCTAAACCTAACAGAATGCTCTGCATATCTTACTATTTCTACTACGTATCAGTAAAGGCAGTAAAACCAAATTGCTTTAGTTACCAAGCACAAACTTAAAAAACAGAATAGATGTAATACCTTTTTCAAGCCCTTGCATATGTTTTCTGATTGCTTTTCTATATGCCAGGATGTCATGATTGAAGACCTAATTCTACCAACCTGTTAGAGCTACAAATAAATGCTAGATGTGGATTGCTGGAAAATTAGAAATCTCAGTGGGATGTAACATTTCTAGCCCTGATTATCTTGTGAGCAGGGGTGTAACATGTAAGGTCTGAGTCCTGGGCAGAAGCAGGGGCAGGGGCAATGGCAGGGGGCAACAACAGCTGCTCCTGAGCCCCCTCTAAGTTGATGCCCGGTGCTGGGGCCCTAGTCACCCACACTTGGTTAGACTTCTGTCTGTGAAATGCTAGTGTTAAGACTGCCCTATCACATACCTTAAAACTCAGAAAGTAAAGTTTAGTTCCTGCTTTTGTCTGATCTTTAACTACAGGGGATGTGTACCAGGAATTCCCTAGTATATTTTACCATGACAGATAAAAGAATGTAATCAATATTATGAGCTCATATTTAGCCTGTATGTGTGATTATGCTAATCACATAATCCAAGGGTGTCAAATTCACCCTGGGCCCTGGGCTGGATCTGGCCTTCAGGGCTCCTCCCAGGTCAGATCCGTGCAGCAGCAGCAGCGGGGCCAGGGCCAGGGCCAGGGCCAGTGGCATGGGTCCGGGAGCAGGCAGCGGTGTGGGCTGGTCACTGAGCAGCAGTGCAAGTTGGCAGTGCAGATCCAGGGCTCGGCTGCAGCCGGGTGAGGGCCATAATCCTTATTTCCTTAATCATTGAACCCTTATAGAAATATATACTTGGGATGTTACTTACTACTGCCTATGACAATTATATTATTTTGAAGACAATAACATAAATAGGGAAAACAGTAAGACTAACAAAACCCAAGCTGGCATGAAGAAAGAGCAGGTGGGGATAACTGCTTTCAAGTGCTGCTGCCGCATTTTTGGAAGCGTCACACTTTGCACATTTGCAGCTTTCTTGCACAGGACTGAAGTACGCATGTCAAATTTAAATACAGAGATGAGCAAAATTAAACCTACCAGTCGTCACAGAAGTTTTGGCACAAGGGAACAAACTGAATAGCAGCAGTGTAGTTCGGATTGATCCAGTGGGCAGCATGTGGGGAACATCGGTAAAAGCACTCGATTTTCTTTGTATAATCTTCACATCTGTGTCAAGTGAGAAGAACAAGAAATAAGCCCACTTCTTCACATCCAGTCCAATATCCAGGCTGTTTCAGTGGGATGTAGCTCATTAATATTTAGATTCTCCCATAGGCCAGTTGAAGTTACTCAAAAAACCACATACTGTATGGAGCAGCTCTCTTAGGAGTGGCAGGCAATCGCAGTTACTTTTGCACATATGTTTTTGCTTAATTGTTTTGTACTGCCGTTCCTTTTTTTTCTATAGCTTGCCATATTTCACAGCTCTGAAATCTAGCAACATACCAAAAACCTTCATTATGGGGAGATGTTCTTTATGATTACAGAACCCACGAAACGACAAGATTTTTTTTCCTCATAATTACTCCAAAGTTTCATTTCTGGCCTCCCTTGTGTAATTTGTTTGCAAGACTTGATAATCTAATTTATCTGCTTTTTAAACAAGGGAAGAGGCCCTGTCTATACAAATTGTGGACCAGATTCACTGGTATGCTCTGGCTGCTTTCCACAGCTACAGCAACGCCAAGTGGTTGTAAACCTTTTTAACCAGCCAGTTAAGTCAGGTTTATGACCGCTTTTCATTGCCAGATCAGTGCACAGCAGACAGATCTGGCCCCATAATCAAGAACAGGCCTTAAATGGCATCATTTCCTTTTTCACAAGATAGCAGAAGCTCCTCTGCACAAACAACTTGTGCTTTAGGATTTGTAGATTTTGGGGAAAGGAAAGGGGGAGGAGGGAGAAGCTGATCAGATGGCAGCATCTGGTCCACTTCCCGATCTGGTGGCACATTCAGGCAAACCCCAGGAGTTCCCAGGAGAAATTCCAGGGGGAAATTCATGCCGGCAGCTGACGGCACAGACTAGCCCTAGTCCCCATCAGGGGACACAGACGCTATTGTATCTAACTTACGATTTGCTGAGACTCCCACATCTGTTCCAGTAGCTGTTGTTTACTTTAACGACTGGCGAATGGTCCAGTTGCACTGTGAAATCTGCATCGCAACAGGAAGCTGTTGGAGATAGAGCAAAGACCCTGCCATTAGGGTTTGCTTTGACACTGTATGTGAAAGATGCAACATGTAAAATATTCATCTTTTGGCAAATGATCCCAAGCAGTCCCTTGGTAACAACTAGGACACAGACCTTACACAGGAAGACCTTTTACAATGCTTACATTTCCGATCTTGGAAACAATAATGTAAGAGCTGCCTAAGTAGGACTGAATTGGTATCAGTATTGCTTTGTGAGGATGTATTCATTCACTGCCAAGAAGTTAAGTGGTGTTTAACCAGATGTGATATCCTGGAAGAGTGAAAGTCTGAACTCCAGCCTTTGAATTCAGAAGTTACTAAATACACAACAAGAAACAAAAGATGAAGTGCAGTGAATATTACTTTTATCAGCCTTTTCAGACTGTTTTTTTCTGGTGGCTGCTAGTGTTTAGTCAGGCCAGATATTTAATCAGGTCGATAGTTTTTTTCATTTGCACACTGCAATCAAGAGATGTATGCTGCTATTTAAATTTTCTCATATTTAATCACACTGGGTCACAGTCATTCTTCGTTTAAGCTTACTTAACTAAATGCAATTACATGAGGGATGAAATCTGGAACATAAAAATGTGAATAACTGAAAGCAATGGGAGTTTTGTATCAGGTCTCAAAGCTCTTAAGCACTGGTTGTAGTTAAAAGCTAATGGAACCTACCTTACGAGCACAATGCCTGCTAATATCATGCCAAATTAAATTAATTTAAGGTATGAGAGGGACGGTTTGTTAATAGATGCAAAGGTCAATTTTTAAATGATGTTGAAAAGTCTCTGCCAAAGATTAAACTGCTCTTACATTTCGAGTACAGAGTGCATTCGTGCATGTCGGGCTCCGGGCTCGGCTTCTCTTTGTGAGTATCCCCTTCCAGGCAGCTAAACTTTTTGCATGTAGATGTTGCTAAGATAGCAAAAAATAGGGCTGCAGCAAACTTCGACATCTTCATATAGCACTTCCCCTGTCAGGAAAAAAAATACATTTGATTTGGTTTGCTTATGACTAGGAAAGGCCATCATACTAAAAGGCAGGTCTGTTTGTTGTATTTTTAAAGAGGTAAAACTAAAATAGGTTAAACCAAGATGAGCAGTCAAATATTTGTACAAATGCTTGTCTGCTTTCTCTTCCCCTAGATCTCAATATTTTTAACAACCGTTATTTTTGAGCAAAGACGGACAAATGACTGGTACTTGGCACCGCAAACACGGCATCTTAACACAGCTTGAGATTCAGAAGAACACAGAGGTCATCTCACTTCATTGGACTAAAGGCCTGTCTCATCCAGTTTTCTCTTTCAGACAGTGGCTGGTATGAGTTGGTTCAGAAAAAAAGTGGAAGAAACACCAAGTGGGTAATTTTAGTGTAACCACCCCATAAAGTTTCTTCCTAACCTCCGATCTGAGACTGATTTTGAGATCTAAAGCTACTACATGAGAGTCAGTATGTTGTACCCAAAATCATATGAATTCTTATCTTTTCTGTTCTTAAACTCTATCTAATGTAACTGTAGAGGCCATCGTTAACAATTTCACTGTCCAATTATTACTGTTTTTTAAGTCTTGCTATGAGCTTCCCATCAAAGATCTCTTGTGGCAATGGCTTCTCCGGGCTCTTTGTGTGCTGTATGAAAACACAGTTATTTGATCAGTTTTAAATTTCTTTGCTATTTAATTAAATATCCCTTTGCCCTGTATTCTGCAGAAAGATAAATGGAGAGCCAGATCTACTTTCTCTGTAGCTGTCATCATTTTGTATAACTCGTATTTATCTCCTCCCTGAAGTAGGTCAAATCTTTTTGATATTTTTCATATGGAAACTTTTTCTAATAATTTTCTTTGCTCGTTTCCAAAGCAACATTATTTCTGTTACAGCCTTGTTGAGAAATGGTGGCAAGAAGTCAAGGTGGTATTTTGGGTACGGGATGTCTGTTAATTTACATAGCAATATTATTATTTCCAATATTATTTTTCCATCTCATTTCTTATACCTTCTAACATGTTGTTTGCTTTTTCTTACCACTGCTGCATATTGAGCAGAAGCGTTCCTGGAAACACCCATGATGGAGACTAGGGATACACTAGAACACACAAAGGACTAATGACTCATTCCCTAAATGAGTTAATCTTTTTGATAATGAGATTTGGGTTCTTAAGTCAGTTGAGCTGTTTGAAAATGTTATACAAGGCCATTCTCCTGTGTTCTCACAGTTAATTTATAACTTGGTATAGTATTCCACTTAGGCATAAATACTATTGCAGACCTTAAATATTCATTAAATAATAGACAGTAAGTTAACTGCTCACTGCTTGCTTTTTTCTTTTTTTAATGTTTTCTACAGATACACTGATCCAAATTTATCACAAGGGAAATTTCATTGACTTCACTGGATTTCTAGGACAGATGAACATCCCATATGTTTATATCTACATGGGTTTTTTCTGTATCCTGAGAAATGATGTAGCTCTTGGTGTTGTAGGTGAGTAAATTCTAATGTATCTAAAACACCAGTCCAGATCCTTGGCTGTTGTAAGCTGATGGAGCTCAGTTGTTTCCAATGAGGCGGTGCTGGCTTACACAACCAAAGGATCAAGCCCAATATTTTCTGTATCTGTATTTTTCTATGATTAATCCAAAACCAAAAGAAAAAAAACCGTTGAGCATAAGGCTAAAAGTTCTCCAAATTCTAGACTACAAAAGTACATGAATGAACTAGACATGCCTCCTATAACACAGCGTAAAGGTCTGTGCATATTATTGGCTTGATCCATCAGTCTTTAATCAAAACTTTCTACTAATTTCAGCAAGGAATTTTGCCTGAATAACACATGTATAATCAGCCCCTACATTTACACTAGACTTTTTTAATATAAAGAAAACAAAATACTACATGAAAAGAAAGCTGTCTTTATAACTTGAACATTGATTTCTCACCTCTTCTGCTGTCTTTCTTCTTGCTACTTCTCTGTGGGACTGGAAAACAGCAGGTTGCTCTCAGCCTTCCTCTTTATATACACACCATCGGTCCCCCAGAGTTTGTTTGTCCTAGAAGAGTTCCTTGACCTTTTGGAAAGGTAGTGCACATTTCAGGAGCAGATACAAGGACTCGTGTCGACTGCACAAGCTGACATGCACATAATGCTCCTTTATTGCTTGCAGACTCACTCATGAGGACAAGGAAATAAAGGTATGAGGTTGGATTTTTAAAAAATGAGTAAATTCTTCCCCTCCCCCATAACCCCCCCCCCAAGTAACCCCAACACTGCACACCACACAGGCCACCTGCTGTGTGGGCAGTGCCAATGGCACATGCCCCCTGAGATCCCACACCCCATGCAGGCAGCACTGGCACTGCACAGCTCCCCCCTGCATGGTTGCGTACGTGGCATGTGGCATGTGGCCCTCTACCCTCCTGGTGCACAGGCAGTGCTGGTGGTGTGTGGCCCCCCGGGCCCACCTCTGCCACATGGTTGTGGGAAAAACAGCTGCAAGAGCCTGTGGATTACATGCTGGCCTCCCGTGGTCCCCACCCTCAGGCTGCTGGTTGGACTGTAGTACAGTAATTCTTAGGTTCCTTTATTATGAATGATATTACTCATCATTACTACTATGGTGTTGCCTTGGGAGGCTGATCATTGATCAGGACCTTGTGAAATTAGATTAATAAAGCTACCACTATATTCCTTTAAATGGGAATTCTGCAAAATTTAACGATGCTTAACCTCATTTTGACTATGGATGTGGCCATTTTCAAGCTGATGTTCAATAAAAGGGTCTTGTAGTAATGATTGTCCCCTTTGAGATACCAGATGAAAAAAATGGAGCAGCCTTGCTTGCATGTTGCATTGCAGATCTTGCAGCGTAATTAGTAGAAAGGGGTTAAACCAGGGGCGGGCAATTGTTTTGGGCAGAGGGCCGCTTACTGAGTTTTGGCAGGCCATCAAGGGCTGCGTAACAGGCAGCCCAGGGCAGATAGGTATTAATAACCTAAATTTTTTAGAGGCCCTGCAGGCTGGATAGAATGGCTTGGTGGGCTGCATCCAGCTCCCAGGCTGCATTTTGCCCACCTCTGGGTTAAACTTTCAGACAAATTATTTTTTAAAAAACTTCTTTATTAATACAATTATAGAACCACAACTGCAACACAGGAGGAGTACACAGGAATTGCATGGGTTTGAAGTTACTACATCTTTACAAAGGAAGTCCTTGAAGAAGATCATCTCCATTATGACTATAATGATGATGTATGTAAATATAAAATTAAATAATGTTCACTAATATTCAGAAATTCTGGGTAGAGACTCTGGCTTGCTGTTTGGTGAATTTTTGTTCTGTGCAGAGGGTAGGACTGGAATCCTTATTTCTAAATCTCTCTCTTTGGTCTCTTTCCTAATCTTCTAACATCATGGGACAGTTTCTCCATCACCAAGATACCACATATTTTAGCACACTACATTTTCAGTTGAGGGGAGGAGGGGAGAGGAGGGAGATGTGATACCTTCTGCAATTGAGCAATGCATCTTGAACAATTCAAAACGAGGATATCAGTTTTTCATTCTGCACGAGGCAAACTTCCTTTACTGAGGCATTCAATCAACAAAAACAATATTATCACCCACCACAATAGTTATTATTCTGATCACTTCCACCCAGAATAATGGGACCTCAGGGCATAACTACTGTGTATGAAACTATCAGCCAAATTCTGACACGGGGTAAGCAGATTTGATTTGCCAGCACTTTAAATCCACTTTGTACTCACTCTGGTTATCACAGATGATTATACATTGTGCAAGGCAGCTGAGAATCAGGATCATTTCATTTGTGGATTCGTAGATTTTTAAGGCCAGAGGTAAACAGTAGGTTATCTGATCTGACCTCTGAAGTAACACAGGCCAGGTACCTTGACCCAGTTTTCTTTGCATTCAGGCCAATAACTATGTTGGAAAGAGTCCAGGGGAGAACAACAGAAATGATTAGGGGTCTTCAAAACATGAAACACAAGGAAAGATTGGAAGAATTAGGATTGTTTAGTCTAGAGAAGAGAAGACTGGGGAGGGATTTGATAACAGCCTTCAAATACAGAAAGAGTTGTTATACAGAGCATGGTGATTGACTGTATCTGCAAGGGATAGGACAAGAAGCAATAGTTTTAAAGTGAAACAACGGAAATTTAGGTTAGATATTAAACACTGGAAACCATTCCCAGGAAAGAGGGTGGAATCGTTGTCACTGTACATTTTAAGTGCAGATTAGACAAACTTTTGGATGAGAGGGCCTTAGACAGGGTGACCATGCCTTATGCAGAGGGCTGGACTAGATGACTGGACTAGATGACTGGAGGTCCCTCCTGGCCCTAATTTCCTATGAGCTGCTTGTCCACTATGGCCCCCAAATCCTTTATAGTCATTACTTTCCAGGATACAGCTCTCATTCTGTAGGCGTGGTTAACAGTACTAGTACAATGCTGGTGCCTTAGGAACCATTTTATTTTATCTACTTAGCTTCACTAACTTAATGGAAAACCTGATGACACACTGCATTTTCTCACATCCAATACACCCCAGAATATAATTTCATAGATTTCATAGACCTTTGGGCAGGAAGGGATCTTGGAAGATCATTGAGTCCAGCCCCCCGCCCCAGGAGCAGGAAGTCAGCTGGGGTCAAATGATCCCAGCAAGATAAACATCCAAACATTTCTTAAAAGAGTCCAGAGTAGGTGCTTGCACCACCTCTGGGGGAGTCTATTCCAGGCCTTGGGGGCTCGGACAGTAAAGAAGTTTTTCCTTATGTCCAGCCTAAAATGGTCTTGCAGGAGCTTGTGACCATTGGACCTTGTCATCTCTTGGGGTGATCTGGTGAACACATGTTCCCCCAGATCCTGATGCACTTATAGGCAGCCACCAAGTCACCCCTGAGCCTGTGCTTTTCCAGGCTGAAGAGTCCCATAGCTCCCAGCCTCTCATCATAAGGCCTGTTCTCCTGCCCTCTGATCATGCACATGGCTCTTCTCTGCACTCTCTCAAGCTTCTCGACGTCCTTCTTGAATTGTGGGGCCCAAAACTGGACACAGTACTCCAGCTGCGGCCTCACCAAGGCCAAGTACAGTGGGAGGATGACATCCTGGGATTTACTTGAGAAGCATCTCTGGATGCAAGCCAGAGTTTTACTCGCTTTACTAGCTGCGACATTGCATTGGTGGCTCATGTTCATTTTGTGGTCAGTCATGACCCCCAAGTCCCTTTTGGCCGTGGTGCTAGTGGGCGTAGCATTGCCAAGCCTATAAGCATGATGTGGGTTTTTTCCCCCCCGAGGTGAAGTAACTTGCATTTTCCATATTGAAGGTGATCAGGTTTATATCTGCCCACTTTCTAAGCCTATTAAGGTCAGCCTGGATCACCAGCCTGTCCTCAGGTGTGGATGCTGTACCCCAAAATTTGGTGTCATCGGCGATCTTGGCCAGTCTGCTTCTGACACCAGTCTCCACATCATTAATAAAGACATTGAAGAGTATGGGTCCAAGGAAAAAGCCTTTCAGGACCCCACTGGTCATGGCGCACCACAATGATTTACTTCTGTCAACTACCCCCTCTCTGGGTCCGACCACGGAGCCAATTCCCCAGCCATTGGACTGTGGTGTAGCCGAGGACACAATTGGCCAGTTTTTCCATGAGGAGATCATGGGACACCAGATCGAAGGTTTTTTTAAAATCAAGATCTATGATGTCAACCTCTTCTCCCTTGTCCAAGTGATAGGTCACCTGGTCATAGAAGGAGATGAGATTGGTCAAGCAAGACCTACCTGCAACAAACCCGTTCTGGCTGTTCCTCAGGATGTTGCCATCAGCCAGCTTGTCTAGAATGGTCTCTTTAATAATTTTTTTCCAAAATCTTTCCAGGGATAGAGGTCAAGCTGATTGGCCTGTAGTTCCCCAGTTCTACTTTTCTCCCTTTCTTGAAGATAGGCACCACATTGGCCTTCTTCCAATCTTTGGGTACTTTACCTGAGCACCAGGAGCACTCGAAGAACCATGTCAGAGGCTGGGCTATGATGCCTGCCAGCTCCTTAAGTACCCTGGGGTGTAAGCTGTCAGGACCAGCTGACTTGAAGGTGTCCATCCTCTCAAGATATTCCTTTACGTGGTCTACACCGATGCTGGATATACATTCACCCTCACTCTGGCTGTCCTGCATCATGTTAGGCAGGGCGGTCCCTTTGGGCTGATGAAAAACCAATGCAAAGTACTCATGAAGCAGGCTGGCTTTTTTGTGGGTGTCAGTTGTCCCATTTGGTTTAGTAGGTGTCCAATATTACCCTTGCTTTTCTTCCGACTCCCCATATATCTGAAAAAGGGCTTTTTATTGTCCTTGATACGTGTAGCCAGCTGGAGTTTGGTTGCAGCCTTGGCTTTCCTGGTTTGCTCCCTACAGGTGCAGGCCAGTGCAGAATACTCCTTCTTTGTGGTGATTCCTGTCTTCCATCCTTTATAAGCCTTTCTTTTTACACATAGGAGGTCCATGAGTTCCCTGCTGAGCCAAGGCGGCTGCTGTGCCCTTTTGCTACCTTTCCTCCGAGGTGGGATGGACATCTCTTGTGCTTTCAGGATCGCTCCCTTAAGGAGCAACTGCTCCTCTTGAACTCCCCTCCCTGTTGTGTCATGGTCCCTTAGGGCCTTGACAACAAGCCTCCTGTGCTTGTTAAAGTCAGCTTTCCTAAAGTCAAAGACTTTTGCATTGCTGATTGACCTGCCAGCTTTGCAATGGATATACACCTTGTTTTTGAAGGGCAGAATGAGAAAAAAAAAACAGCTTTTCCAGTGATGTGGCTATATAGAACCAGGAAAATTAATCTCAGCCACCTTCCCTTTCCTGCTTAACTAAAGCCGAAACTCCAGCTGCTGCTGAAGGCAGACTCCATGGGTGGGTCAATGATTTTGAAAAGACCTAAACACTCTCCAAGGCTGTGAAATTGGAGGACAGAGGCCAGGAGCAGTTAGCAGACAGCCAACTTGCCTTAAGAAAGGTTAACTTGATTAGTGGAACATTAAGAGTATTAAAAAGGAGAGAAGATCATTAACACCTCTGAAATGAAGAACAATGACCCATGAAGTCAACTGACTCCCTCAGCTGCCTGAAAGTAACAGCTACTGAACT